AGGGTAATGGTTAAGGTATTGAACTTTGGACCACTACATTGGAGCTTCGAATCCCACTTCACTTACTTTGGTTTGGACAACCGGGTAGTATAAATCATTTTTTATTCTTATTCGCTGAAGTACGAACCACATTTTAAACACGAGGGGTAATGATATTAATCAATCACCTAAAACTAGGTAGGTAGAATGGGGTTCAAACCAAGGACTTAGTGGCTAAAGGTCGAAAGCCTGAGCGATTAGCTCTCGCACTTTAAGTGTAGCTTAAAGTTGAGCACATGGATCTGTATGTGGTAAATGGATTAGAACATGATTACCAATCCATCCTGACAACTAAATTTAAACTAAACAATCATAATATACACTTCTACCTCAGTAATATTATTTAAGCTATGTGAAGAAACTAAAACGGTTAGTAATTCTAGCATTGTATATGAATATGCATTGCTTATAATTCTTACTGATTGTATGTCATTATTTCAACAAAATATCATTTCACTACTCTTCGTGAGTTAACGAAAAGTTATAGTGAATAGAAATGTCATAGATCTATGGTATTACTGTTTAATATGTTCAAACGACAGTGAGTAACGTTCTAATTATACAAGACTTGAATAAAACTATGATGGTATATTATAACAAACCTTATGGTTAAGATAAGATAGTCTAGAATTTCTAAAGGTACATGGTTTACATTGTGTGTTGAAATTAGATAGCTTGAATGTAACATCTCCATCATTGACACTAGGTCACAGAGAAATATTCCACGGAGAGTATTCGTTAGGAGATACACCAGCAGGAACAAGTTTCAACTTATGAAAACACCAGGCTCAGGGATTGATATCAAGTGCCTTCAGTTAACAACCTAATATGAAACTTGAGTTTTATGGGAAACCAATCATTAATGAACGTAAGCTTCATGAATAATGACTAATTGTAGGTTCGAATTGCACTACTACTTCAATTTAGGTAGCTATGCAATATAATCACTAGCCTTCATACAAATAGTTAAGTTTAATGCCTAGTAGATAAACCTGTACCTGGCAAATGGGTTAGATAAAAAGTAAAAAATTTTATCAGAAAAAATTATTTCAAAATAATATCAATAAAATTGTTTGGTACTGGTTTCATTTGCAACCATGGAAAAAGATTTGTGTGGTATACAAACCTATTTTATTCTGAATACAATGATATCTAACAGGAGTTTTATCCGAGGTAGTAACCACAAACAATAATCGAATATCTTTATGCTGAGATTGACGCTCTTCCAAGGCGTGTAAATGAGGTAATGAATAATGATCGCTCCCAAAAAACACCACGCTGATAATTGAACGTGTGAAGATAGGGAACTGTGATGGACATGTAAACGGTAATTTAAATAAATAACTCGAATTCATGTTATCCTTTAGCAAATATGTGAGTCATCTGTAATAAAAAAGAAATAAAATGTAAGTGTAAAAACCTTTATAAAGCTAGTCATTCAGAAAACCCCCACGAAGAAAGATTTGTATGCATAGTTTAATAAGTACTTGATGAACTTTGTCGTGGTTACATAATTATGTTTTATGTCGTTAAGAAAGTTTTCTTCGCCGAATTCTCTTTATTTTTATTCAATGATACAATGGGTTATTTTCATATCTACAATAGTAAGTGTAAAATAACGAGCCAGTGGCCTAGCATCTCGATTCTTAATCAATGGATCAGGTTTAAAATCACCTTAACTATACTAATTTAACTAATAGGGTAGTATGGTTAATACATGTTTACTTAGTACACAAACCTTCGTAGAGTTAACGAGTAGCACTTAATTACTTATTACTAGATGAGTACGTTAGATTTTGCTGTGAGAAACAAGAGTAATAGTAATAAAAAAACACCACAACTCTAAAGAGCAGTTTCCTTAACTGGAAGATTAGTGTACTTTTGATTCGACAAACGGCTACTAGTTTTAAATTTTCACGTTTGTTATGAGAAATGTATGATTGTTGGAGTTAAATTCATTCAAATACTGAGAAATATACTTGTAATTTGAGTAGAAAATACACGAACAAATAATGACAGGAAATCTAACGCAAATAAGTATCTACCTATTTTGAAATACTTTGTGTTAACACGAGGGAAAACTTACAAGTTAATTACAGTAAAAGTGACAAAAAAGATACAAAGAAAACTGAATGATGTTTATAGAATAGTATGTCCCAGATATAAGAGTTGGTAAATAATGAATGCACTTGTACTAAAGAGACTGATTTTAATGCATGCCAAGTAAGGCTCTTGAACTTATATCATGATTATTCTTGTGAATACTCTAACAACGAAGCCAGAATCTCTCTATGCAATTCGGAATAACATTCTATGACTTTATGGACTGATGCCAAATATTTATTTGAGTGTTCTTAGCTTTTATTAATCTACTCATATGATAACCGTTATACCAGATGACCCACTTATCTCACATTATGACCACCTCATATTAATAAAATCATCATTTTCACTTAGCACTCTATACCTAACACTAATATCGTATACTCAACCATGATCGAATAATAGAAGCTGATGTTTATATTCGGTCCTAGAACTTGATGATTAACAGATCTACATTCTTGTCGTTTTTAGGCAGACGGGTATTTAACTTTTGCAATAGGTGAGATAAGCGGAGTATTTATGTAGTCATATTAACTCTTCTATAGAGTAATTTACCATCATATATAGTACATAATTGCCCCCAAATGCTTTGATACGGCCGAGAGTGGGGAAAGTCAACTCCCTCTTGAAATGCTCTCACATGGCCACGTGTATACAACCACTACCAAGGAAGTCCTACTCACCGACTTCTCGCAGTGGGTGTTGTTTACGAAAATGAGAGGATGACAAGCGAATGTCCTGGGCTTTAACCGGGTCGGTGGACATGGAGGGTATTTTGCCTAGATCCTCACACAGATAACAAGTGAATCGTAGCTTTTTGGAAAAGTTACAATTATATGAGTGGATATTGGGAAAGCATAGTTGAAAGGTTAGAAAACCTCTGTTAGCTGGTCACTGCAGGAACAAAGAGGAAGCATTCACGGAAATTATTTACTACGCGAAGTCTAATTATAAAGTCTTTACAAAGCTGTGCTGTCGTAAGACCTTGGGAATTTTACCCGTTCAACCAATTAGAAGACAGAAAGATAATAATATGATAAGAAGTGGGTCGATAAAATGGAGTTTATAGTCCTTGGATTATATCTGAAGTCGATTGGTGATGAAAACCCAGAACATAGAAATAATATTAATTTTTCACATTAGCTAATATCCCTATTATGGAATATAGACCGTGATCTTGAGATGATTTGCATATCCGACATGAACTTAGTGATATAGCACAGCTCAACCAAAGTCTTTCCTCGATTGGTTTGGCTTACGCTCCAAAAATATCAGTTTTCACAACTTTTCGAAGCAGAGAAATAAAACTATACTGGGTTAAACATGGTACCTGATAAGTCACAGCAATTTACATATTCATTTGATGAGACTATATTTGCGGATGAAATAATCAGATTTAGGATAGCAAATTGTAATCTTGTCATACAATCTTATGAACTGAACCCTCAACTGAATAAATAGAGGGGTTGCACAGCAAACATGAAGTATATGAAGACGTTTGATATGTATGTATATATCCTAACATAATGGAGGTTATCTATTTATTATTTTATTTTCTAATACAATCGTCTAATATAACAACCAGTCAAAGCCCACGACCTTGAGTGAGTCAGAGTTTACGCTGTAAAGGTCATTGTGATGTGAAGATCAAGAAACAAAACCATTAAGCTTGTGCTTTTTAATATTTATCCACATTTATCGCCCATTGTGCAAAAGTAATACGGTGAAAACAGTCCGAAAATATCGTCCTCATGCATAAATCAGCGAATCCAGAGAGATCGTAGGATACTGTTAATTTCGGTAGACGAAAATCCGGCGAGACCATAATTTATGGACAAACCAATCAGACATAAGATAACAGTTCTTGGATTTCGGTGCGATATTCATTCATTCAAATAGCGTTTTGACATTTAAGCTGATGTCATTTCGTAATGACAACACTATGTTTAATTTCTAACCCCAACCTTCAAATGAAAAAATCATAATTCTCATTCCTCATACCGGTTTGTGACTCTTATTTATTTTTAGTAGGTGTACATACTCAAGGTCACTTTAGAGTCGCTCAAAGGTCGTCCATCAATTATGGTCTCACTGAAGATTCATTCAGACATCATTGGAATCAAGTTGGTGTCCCGAGCAGTCAAAAAAGTCAGGTGATTATCGTACATAATATAGATGGTGTTATAGAGCGGCATAATTCATACTTAACATACACTTCTTAGGTGATGTCAATGAAAATTATAGTTTCTGCTTTTACTCTTGAGACTTTCCAGAAAAAAGGTTCACTGCCTACAATGTGGAAGAAACCGGGATATTAGAGGTCAAGATGTTGCAAAGAAGTTATATCGTTGTACATGCTGGCTCACCCTAATGTGACAGTCATTAGTTGCTTCCAAGAACACGTTTATATTGTGCACGGAATGACATTTTAGATATAAAAAGCAAGAGAGTGCACAGAGAGACCACGCCTGAGTGACTAATCCATGCCGCCTGAATCAAATGTTTTCACCTCAATTACAGTCGACCTTACCCGTGTGTCCAGCGGATAATTCAATCTTCCTTACTAGTGTGCGTTTAGCTTCAATGTTTGCATGGCTAGGAACCAGTGCTACAGCACTTCAACTTATGTACTTCACGATTTCGGTAAGTCACAAATGCAGAAGACATTTCCATTCACAGAGGTAATGAAATGATAATTCATCTCTTGAGGTAGCTTATTACAAACCTACTTATATGTTGAGAATACTGTGTCAAACAACTCAAATACTCAGCAGCTAAGTTTAATATTGCTTTTGCACAGATAAAGATGATAATATTACTGAAATACAGGTGAGATGAAGCGTTGCGAAATATTCCATTATCGTAATTCTGAGACTTATGACATCCCGTTGAATGAACTCGTTGTTTTAACAACCTTTTAAATTATATCGTGCTATTGCAATTGAAAAAAACTGTCAAGTAGCTGAAATTGTTTGACAGTCTTGATTTATGACAGTAGGCACGCGATAACCGACACACTCAACTGTGAAAGATTTGTTATCTACAACAATCGAAAGTTCAGTATGATAATGCAGTTGTGTTAAGATACCAACAATAAAGTGATGAACAGAACAAGTTTGCGGTCTACACAAAAGAGCAATTACAACATTTCTTATAGCATAGATTTATTATTCAACAGTTTGAAATAGTTTTACTAGCCACGTTGAAAACACCATCAAACGAATGCAATTTGAAGCGATTATTAGCGTCAATATGATGTCAACTGACTTTCCATAAAAGTTTGAAGCCGGGCTTGTCATATTTAATATTAAAGTCTACGTCGATCATCAGAATTTCGCAAGTTATCTGGACACCGGAATTCTGCAGGACAATGAGAAAAGCAATCTGACATAGCTTTTACCCTTCACATGCACCAGAATTAAAATGTTTTATCGTTGGGGGAGGATGCGGACCTAGAAATTGACGACTTTGATGGAAAAAACCACATATGACAATGGAACGAAGGAAAACTTAAGTTACTTAAAGAAAACCATATCGGTTTGTTGTCTATTTTATTACGGAAAGGCTAGTTTGCCATAAGCGAAAGTAAGTTTTAATTATTTCATTGCCATTCGAACTACGGTGTTCCACTTAATTTTCTCATGATTGGCATGCCATAAATTGTTTAATATCATTTCTTATTATCTTTTCACCTCATAACAAATTCTTCGGATACTTAATGCGGATTTGCATCGGCTGAGTAATCGGATACTTGCAAATATATGTGTAGGTTAGTCTTCTATCTTGTAAACTTATGAATATATATGCGCAAAAAAAACCAACATGTTGAGTTAGATCCTATGAGCTCAGGGGATAAAAACAGTAAACATTTGAATGAGCAGGAATTGTTTTAGAATTTCATATCGGTTGAGTTTCTTTTCGAAATATTTTAGATATTTATGATGCACAGATATTCAGGCATCCTGACAACCACAGGGAATCAGCATAAATTATTGTGGCGGACTAGTTTTGCGATAATTCTTTGGGCTATGTATATCAATTACCCTGATAACTTTTATTAAATAAATCTCAACGGTAGGTAAGCCAGGGACAAATCAAGGGAATTGGACTAAAAAAGGGTAATGTACGGTAGTGAGCGAGCGAATAAAGCGAAGAATTAGAACTTGAATAGAGAGTTTAATCAATAATTAATATTCATTTAAGTATATAGATGGGAAAGCGAACGATTCATCAAACGGCTTAAGCAACTAAC